ATTTATGATCGGTTTATTAAGATGCAACGGCAGTCTATTTCAATATTCGATTGATTAATAGAAATCTTTGGAAATAAAATCCGTCTGATCGTACAAGATCTTATGGATGGATCATGCTAGATACTTATTGTAACTCTTGATATAAGAAATCAGAGGCTACAATTTTTCATACGATTTTCCGTATGATCTGGTATGATCATACAAGATAATGGTAAAAGATCGGATATGATCGTACAAGAATCTGATGCAGATCTTAGTCTCCGATTTGTTGACCTGGGTAGTGCTATTTTAGGGCCATATTAGTTTAAATAAAATACAGCTGTGATTAGTTCACGATGCAACAGAATCTTACAAGGTTCTTTCAATAGGACTTAGTGTAAGAAATCAGAGACTACGATTTTCCGTACAATTTTCGTCTGAACGTACCAGATCAAATAGGATCAGACGTGCGATTCTTGTAAGGTCTTATTATCTGATTGTTTGTCATGGGCGAGTGCGTTAGTTTAATATTCAAAGTATTACTTTTGAGCAACACAAAGAGTTTTGAAACTTTTCTTTTTGATATAGATAGTCCTAACTGTTCTCTATAAATTGCACTATAGTTAGTGTACTTATATTTTAAATATTCTCAGGAATTTATTGAGTTTTAACATCACCCTATACACCTAGAACCTTTTATGTGAGTGCGTTATCGACATGCATTTTTAGTATAAAAATTAAATTTCAAATTCAATTCGTATGGAACTTACACATATTACAGAGTCTTCTAAGATACACATGTATTTCAAATGTCAAGGTCCGATTCTTTATCATTCCAGCAAAAAAAAAATGGATTAAAAGTTGAGAAAACATTAGTGCATTACTTTCGAACAAGCCTTATAGTTATTTTATCGAAGAAAAGTAAGTTGCTATTTTATTTTCATATACAATAAGATTAAAGTAAAGTTAATTTAATGAAATTCTTTTCTTATTGATGATTTATTCGGATATAAATAAAATTATATACTATACATAGAATGTAATCATGGATGTTAGAAAAAAAAAAGGTCTCACAAAAAGATATCTAGTAGATATCAATATTATTATATTACAAGATAAGTATCAGAATCATTTTTTGTTTTCGTTTATAATTTTATGATATTCGTATTTATTCTTGTTATAGTTTATATGAGAATAAGGATGTATATGCATATATATGTATATATATATAGAAAGAGAAAGAGTGACAGAGAGAAAATTATAACTCAATATAAATTAAAACGAATATCTAATAAACACAAAAGATATTCATAAATTCTATTCACATGATTCCATCAATATAGATATTATCTATTTTGTTTAATCTTTAACATTTATTCAATTTAAACTGACTATTTATTTTTATTCATTGAAAACAAAAATCAAAAATATAATAAGATTCTTTTTTGATATTGAATGTAATTTATTTTGAAAACTTTTATTCCTCAAAAATATATGATAAACTATTTCATATTTTTCAATTAACAAATTCATGAATTTGATAGAGCTAAATGTTTTGCATCAATCAAATGTCGACTTTAGAAGATTTCTTGATTATTGTTTAAAATAAAATATTTTATAATAGAAATATATAATAATAAGATTTTGCTAGTGATAAATTATTCTTATATAATTATGAAATTGTATATATGAAACTGATAACTAAAACATATTATTCCATAACCAAAATTTATTTATTTATCATGTAAAATGAAATGAAATAATTCAATAAATAAATTCAAATATATATAATAAATATATAATTAAAACAAAATACAATATTAAAATTTTTTTTGTTTTTTGCATTAACTAATAGAAACATACACATATAAATATTTAGTATTTCTGATGATAAATAAATCTAAGACTTTAACAAAATCAAAAAAAAAATAAATATAACTATAAGATATATGTTTTTGAAATAATAAAAATTAACAAACATACTAAAGAATAATATGACAAGGTTTATTAATATATATGATTGTTGTTCGAATTATATCATTGATTCTAAATAAATCGAGCAAAAGACAAATAATAAAAAAACAAAAGAAAGAAAACTCTATACATAAAATATCAAATATGAAACTTAATACTAAAAAAAAAATATTTCGGAACGATAGTTATTGAATAAGAGTAATATGATAAATAACAGAGAAAAAAAACATTCGACGATTAAAATCTAAAGAACATAAATAAAGAAATAGCTAATTTATATAAAAAGCTAATCGATACAATACATTCATATAATTCTAGCGACATCTTTCACCAATATTTCTCAATTATATGAAATTAAAAATTATCTAAATCAATAATAATAAATAAATGTTAGTTTTTTTTTAAATTAAACTTACCATCTATTATTTTCGTCAATCATAGAATTTTATTGTTTTTAATCATATCATGATGCTAGTTTATCAATTAGCTTTTATACAGACTGACGGATTTCAAACAGACTAATCGAACTACAACAAAATAAAGAAGAAATATGATAGACGTTGTTACTTTGCAACATCATCCATCATATTTCTTCTTTATTTTATTTTAATTCGACTAGTCTGTTTGGATTCACTTTGTTTATATGAGAAACAAAGAGCAGATATATCTATTTATTTGTCGACTCACTCTTGCAACTGACATTTCGGATATCAAACATTTTTTATACTTTTTAAATAACTAACCTCGTCTTAACTAATTCTATATTTCTAGATGGATTCTAGTCAAAAAAATATTAATACAAGTAATAAATATTCATCATCAACAAATCAAGAACATTCTTTATCAGCACAAATAACATATGGTAAATGAATATAAAAGTTCATATTATGTCATTTATTGTTTTAATTGAAATATATTAGAACCTGGTAGTATAGCATGGTGTAAATATAAAAATTATCCATATTGGCCCGCTATTGTATCAAAGAAAATTGATAAATCAATCGGTACTTTCTACAATGTGTTTTTATTTGGAATATTTCGTTCTGCAATGTAAGTGATAGATTTTCATGACATATATATAAAATGTGCTATTGAATTTAGAACAATTAAACCTATATGGTTAGAACCATATGAAGGTCCTGACAAATTTCGAACAAATATTCAAGAATTAAAAGTTTCTGAAGTATGAAAATGATTTATCTATTGTTTTGTTCTTATTTATTATTTTATAGGTACTTGTAAAAATTAAACCAAGTCAATATGATATGAAAATAGGACAAATCGATTTGAAATTATTTGAAGAAGCGATAAAACAAGCATCTGAATTGGTTAATATTTCAAATTTTTCTGATAGGCTAAAACTAGCTAAAGATATAATTAAACATACAACATGTGATTTTTTTAAAATTGAATTACATAATGATAATGAAAGTGAAAATGAAGATGATAATGATGAAACAAATTTAAATATAATTGAAAATAAAAGTAAATTCTTTCTGTTATTTTATTTGATCAAAAGAAAAGATTAATTATTTAGGTTCAACTGAATTATTATCATCGGTTGAAAACGATCAACAATTTATTAATAAAATGATCGATCATAATAGAAATGATGATGTTAAAAATGATGAAGAAAAAGATAATAATAAAGCAAATTTAAATATTATCGAAAAAAAAAGTAAATTATTTTTGTTTTTTTTATTTAATTATAAAAAAAATTATTTAGGCTCAATTCAATCAACATCATCGATTGAATACGATCAACAAGTTATTGAAACAATGATTGATCAAAATCGTCCAAAACGAAAATTGGATGATAATAGAACTCTATCAAATGAAAAAAAAACTCGAATTACAAGTACAAATGAAGTTAAACAAGTAATTAAGATAGAAAAAATTACACAAAAATTATTTTGAAATCTATTTCTTAGCCATCAGACAATTGTGCATCGTGGATTTCTTTTCAACGTCCAACGGATGAACCAATTTTTATGTGTCAAAATTTTGTTTATTATAGTTTAACATCAGCTGAAGCACAATTTATATTAGATGAAATAAAAAATTTGAATTCCAATTGCACATTTTTTGAAGCTAAACAAACAGCTGAACAAATATATACAAAAATACTTCAGGGTAATAGACCAAATTATGTATTGCATATCAGCGAAATATGGTTTTATTTATTCGTCATGGTACATATTGATGATTTATTTCCAAATCATATTCATTGGTTCAATGATCTTGAACAAGCACAAGCAACTGATCATTTTTCATCTGTACAAAAAAAAACATTAATTCGTCTGATGAAAACGTATCTTTAATTATATTGGCTTTGTTTTTTCTGTTTTTTTTGGCTTTTTTTCTTTTTCTTATTGATAAGAGCAACTCGATGTATTGTAAAGTGAAAAGAAATATGAATAGATATATGTATATATAGATATCATCAAATTAGATGATGAGTAATAAAAGTATAGAAGATTAATAATGAATATTTTTAGTTGGAGAACTATTTCAATCGTTTCTTTTTTTTGTTCATTTGATTGATGAAAGAAATGAATTAAATGGTAATGGTCGCCATACTAATTACTGGTTATATTCAACAGACCTTGAAAAATAAATAAATATTACTTTGTGATATTAATTATTTTAGAAGAAATCTAGCTTGAACTGACTCAAGAGAAGAATATTTCTATGGTGTTATATGACATGAAATTCTATGAAGTTATAGAATTTGACACTAAAAATTTGCTAGAATCTTTATTATTTAATAGTGATAAATTCGATTTTTTACATGTTTTAATTTGGTATAAAATTTATTGTTAATGCTAATTGAAAGCACACTGTTACTCTCTGCATGAATGTTATTTCCAAGCTGTATATACCTTGAAATTCAAGTATATCGATCCAGATACTCGTGTTTTTTTTTGTTGAATATGCTTTTATTTTGGTACGTCCGAAGACGCTTACAACACTACGCACTAATATTAACAACAAGGAGGAAAAAGAAAAAAAAACAAACAACAGAACCATAAACGAAAAAAAAGGCAGGAAGAAAAGAGAAGAAGACCCATGGAATAAGCAAGCAGCGAAATAGAAAAGGAACAAGTAAACTTTATTGTAATGTGCTGCAAGTTACATATTTAAATAATACAAAGGAAATATGATAGAGATCATCCCGTGTGGAATATAAGAGGGATAAGAAACAACTCCTATGTTAGCTAGTATAATTCTCTACAAACTGAAGCCAACGAATTAAAAAAGACGAATGATTTACAATCATCTTCTTCACTCTCTTCAGTCGGAAGAAATGACCAATATATAGTTTTTTTGACCACTTTTCTTTTCTTGCATCCTAGATTGTAAGTGCATCCCAATAGAATATATCGTTGATGAAAAGTGTTTCTCCTAAATCTGATTTGTGGATTTTTTGAAGTCTTTTTTCAGATAAGCTGTTACATATGTTTCCAAACTACGTTCTTTAACTGATGAGAAGAGATCTGTGGTAGAAATGTGTGGACACAGATGTATAATTCTTATTCGTACTCTTAATTTACAGTTTAGTGCTTCTTGTTGGGTATTAGGAAGCATCGGGAAAAAAGGAAATAAGCATGCAAAGAACGAGAAACTATAGAAGAAAAAAAACAAGTTATTAGTACTTCCGTTGTGATGTTCTTATTTTTTTGTAACCATTTTAGTTTAATGAAAGATCGTTGAATCTTTTCAGTACCTTGATCTACTGTTGGAGCAAGGGAAAGCTTATCTGTCCATTGAAAACCAAGATATTTAGATGACTGAACAATTTCTAGTAATTTCTCGCCCATATATATCTCTATAATTGGTCTAACTACTTGGCTATGGAAAAGCTAAACAACTGTATTGGAGACATTTATCGGCTGTTTCCATCTACGCGAATATTTCAACAAGTTCTGGCACACCTGCGTGCCTTTCCTATTAATAAATTCCATCATTTTATTTAAATCTTTATCAACTGGTGGCACTATTAGAAGGGTGTGGTGTGGGTGTGGGTGTCTTCTCTTTATTCACATCCGACACCATATCCACACCCACACCCTCAAACTCCAAAGAGAAGAACAATAGGAGACGTGATAAGCAAATAGCTTTTTATGTTAACAAGACGATGAAAAAATTCAGATGAGAGAGAATACACTGCTCTTATCAATAAAGAGCTGAAATGGTCAATTTTGTTTTGTTTACGTTCATGATTGAGAAGGCAAGTAGAAATTCAACGTATCGCACCGGACACGATTTCTAGTACCTCCAAATAAACTGTTACTCATACTGTTTCTTTGTTTCTTTTTTTTTTCATTTTTGTTTTATTTTATTAAATGTTATATTCGTTTGTAATGAAGCTATCGATATAAAACTGAATGAAAATGCTAGAAATAGGTAAATATTGACTATCAAAAAATTGTATTTTTTTGACATACAGGATATCTAATACAAAACATACCATACATTGCAGCGCGAAAAGCTCTGTAAGTTACATATTGAAATCAATTTTTATCAGGTACGGTTTTTTTCCAAAGAAACCCGATTCTATGTAAAAAATTTCCGACCCTACGAAAACTGTCACATATGTTTTGAAAAATAAAAAATATACAGTTAAAATCACATTTACTTTGTAAAATGTAGAGCTTTTTACACCACATCTTATGGTATGCTTTGTTTTTAATATAATGTATTAGATGATAAGAAAATGAAATATGAAGTGTGACCATTTATTCTATTCAAGCGTTATTTCAAAAGATTTCTATTAATTGTGAATTACTTTTATCTCTGTGACTAGAAGAGATAGAAAGCTGAAATTCTGACGCATAGAGTAGATCTAGGTGTGTGGTATATATATACTGTAAATATTAGGCAATTCTCCAGCAAAATACCTAAGAAAAGCGCATCACTTAAAATAGATCCATGACTTGACTTCATCTTTTACAAATTATTACGCTTCTGAGCAATTAAAACTATTCTTTTTGGAAAAAGACCCAAAATTTCACATGGAAAGCAATAATATCAATCAAGAGAATATATCGATTTGCTAAAGAAGAAAGAAAATGATGAAAAATGCATCGCACATAAAAACACAAGATAATCAATATTTTGTTTTATCTAAATGATATCACTAGTTTTAATATTTATCGTTGTTTTTCTCTTGTTGAAGAAAATCTTTGAAGTTTTGAATATATTTCGATACTGACAAATGAATTTTATCTCAATATAGTCATTGTCGTGAATATAATGCATATGGACCTTTATCTTATTCATTTAATGATGAGTTTGAATTGATGACAGTTTATTCGATGTCAACAAGATCTAAACGATACATGTCTACAATGCCTACATATTTGTCTTCGTCATTCTGTATGTGATTCACATCTTTTATTATTCTTCAATTACTAATATCTTGATCATGTTCGTCACATGTCAGATAGAAAAACAAAATA